TGCCGAGTTCATGGCTGGACTTGACCTTCCAACCTAAACGATTGCACGATTCTATCTGGTTCCCGTCTGCCGCTGAGCCTGGGAATTCCCTGGTGCCTGCCTGTTCCACAGCATCAGTGGGGATTGCTGGGGGTGGAGGAGCTGAGTTCAATATTGGGTTTGTATGTATTTCATTATTTTAACTATTCCCTTATTAGTACTGTTACTGTTTCACTAAAACTGTTTTAGCTTTCTTTTCAAATCTGTGAGTGCCTCTGCCTTATTCCCTTTGGGGAAGGAGAGGGGTTATTAGAGAGCACCTGTCAGGTGCTTCGTGGTCGGCCCAGCCCCAACCCTTAGCAATGGAAAATTATTTGTTTCAGACCCATGAGACCAACAAAAAAAACCGAAACCTTTCCAGGTAGCACCATCTCCTGACACAACAGCTGATTGTGTCCAACCACTGGGACAGTGAAAGCACAAGTTAGAGCTGGTTTTCAGAGATGTGCTGTTTTAGACGAGGTCAAGTTCCACTAACACAAGTAAACCTGTTAACAGCCAAATAAATCTAATTTCAACTTGTACAGGCCCACAGAGAGAGGCCCCTCGGTCCACAAGGAGGAGGAAGAGGGCAGCATTTGGAGCCTTACTGGAACAGGTGCCTTTGGCGTTAGCTTGTCTGGGAGGCCTGGGATAAGAACGGAATGGCTCCTGGGACTAGTCTGGAGGCTGCTGCTACTGCTGCTCAGCGTGAGGCTGGTGTCCAGCTGCATCTTGGGGCTCACAGTCAGGTCTTCTGATGGCCTGCAGGAAGAGAGAGACACAAACAAATCAAGCAGGCCAACCTAATGACATAGATCTGCACTGAACGCTCGAGGCGAGGAGACAGGATCCACGAGTCAACGGAGGAGCCCAACCCAAACTTCACTTGTGTTCTCCAAGCCCTTGCTCCTTCCACCATGGTCAGCCACTCTCCGTCAACTAGCGTCCCCTCCTCCTAGTCCCCACACAGCCCCCACCCCCCCAAAAAAAGTGGAAACCAGAGGGAGATCACGATCTCTTAGAATATGAGGTTTCGATGAGAGAAAGGTCCCGTTATAGCTTCAGTTCATGATGTACAGACATTAGGGAGAGACAGGACACTACAGCACAGGTTGTTGGCCTTTTCCCAGCCCACAAAAATGAAGTTTTCACTCGTTATACAGCCCAACCCACTGCGACGCTAGTGAGGTTTTCTTAACAGTCCCAGTTATCTCCCTGTCCTTGGTGGCTGCAGCGTTCTCTTACCTGTAAACAACGACAGCCCTTTGGGAGAAGCAGGTAAAGCGGCAAAACTGAGATGCAAGAAGAGAACCCCTAAGAGGCACACGTGAAACACCGTTGTCGGCCCCTTGGATGACAACAGGCGTGCTCCAGGCTGCAGCAGAGATGCAAACAGTTGCCCATATAGGGACGCTGGGACTCAGGCCAGTTTCCAACTCCAGGTACAACCTCCTCTCCTACAGCTCTAGCCACCCCGAAGGAGCGTATCGGTTCAGTTGCAGATCTATTAGTCAACACACGTGCTTTACCTGGGCATGGAGGCATCGGTGACAGAAGTGCTGCTCATAGCTGTGACTGCGGTCAGGGAACTGACGCTGCTGCCTGGAGAGACGGCGATCTGTAAGAAAACACACAGCGGTCAGGATGTGACAGAAGAGTCCAAAAGCAGAGCTCGATCCAAGAACGCTGGCTCTAGAACTTCTAGACTCTCCAGCAAAGAGGGAATAGGAAAAAAAAAATAAAAATATATATATAGCAGTAAAACATCCTCACCACATGAACCACGAGTGCTTTTTCGAAAAACAGAAACAAAAACAAAGTGGCACACTGCAGAGCTCTACACCAGATCTCCGTTTTGTTCTTTGCTCTCGTCGAGGTTGGTCACCAACAGCAAGGCCAGAGTCCGTACGGAGTTTAGGTCCTGCATTGCTGATCCTTGCAAGCAGAAAGCTCCAACGCACAAGAAGAGGCACTGCTCAGAGCAGCTCTGCTACGAGGACAGGCTGAGGGAGCTGGGATTGTTCAGCCTGGAGAAGACTCCAGGGGAGACCTTACAACTGCCTTTCAATGCCTGAAGGGAACCTACAGGGAGGCTGGGGAGGGACTTCTGACAAGAGCGTCCAGCGACAGAACAAGGGGAAATGGATTTAAATTGAAGGAGAATGGGTTTACGTCGGATCTTAGGAAGAAATTCTTCAGTCTGAGGGTTGTGAGACCCTTGAATAGACCATCCAGAGAGGCTGTGGCGGCTCCCTCCCTTGAGGTGTTCAAGGCCAGGCTTGAGGTGTTCAAGGCCAAGTTGGAGGAGGCCGTGAGCAACCTGGGCTGGGTAAGGGGGTTGGGTTAGATGATCTCTACGGTCTTTGCCAACCTGGGCCATTCTAGGATTCAGCTAGCCGGCTAGCAGTGAAGAGCACAGCGGGATAAGGGGCTCCTGGCTGCCAAGAAACACCAAGATAAGCACACAAGTCGTCAGCTGGGAAAGCTCACGTAGCCAAGCTTCTTAGGCTTGACAGAGAGCACAGACTGAGCTAAACTCAAGGCTCGGTCCACCCTGCAGGGCTCCTGGGGGCTGGTGTCAGGAGGAAAAAGCCAGCTACGAAATACGCAGCAGTGAAAAGCCAGTTTTAAACTGAACAGCTACATTGTTAAAGCTGAAAAGTGAGCTGCAACCCTCGCCCGGACAACAACTTCTCTCTGCTCCGTCGGGACATCCTTGCATCAGGAAGGCTGCCCACCCTTAGGCACCACACCAACTCCTCGCCTCAGCAACATCAAAACCAGCGGGAGGAGTTGAATTTAATTCTCTGCTCCCCGAGCTGTTACCAGCGGGGCTCTCTCTCATCAGCCAACTCAACACGAACTCGATTTCTGCACGTGCTGTCTGTCCTCACTCAGGCTCCTCCAGCGCTCTTCGAGCTGCGGTGACGGCCACACGATCCTGGTGACAGCCACGGAGGGGGAAGCCCTGCCCTACGCCGTGTGGGTGGAACGCTGCTCACAAGCACTCTCCTTCTCGCCTGTCAGAGCAGCATCAGCGTGGCAAACAACTGCTGACAGCTCATTTCTCACAGGAAGGCAGAGAAAACATCAACAGCTTCTCACCAGGGGAATCCACGTCTCGTAATTAAGCACAAGACCACTCTTCTTAAAGGACACACTTGGAAAAAAAAAAAAAGGCTTTTTAATTTAGGCCTACTCCCAAAAGCACACAGAGAAAACTACAGGGTCCCAAACTCAGCACAAGAGATTCAGCACAAATTCAGTACAGAGGCACAGAAGCAGGCTAGAAAGCAAGAATACCTGAGTGGGTTTAAGACAAACTAAGAAGACACTTGGATGCAGAGTGGCTAAGAAATAACGAGCTCCTGCACCAAATCTTGTTGGCATAACCAAGAAGAAACCCGCACGGAGTTAGGCAGGTGCCCGCTGTCGGTGCCTGAAGGTCTCTAGAGAAGCCCAGCGGGATGCATCGGTGCGTGAGGCTGCACCGCACGCGTGTGACGGAGCATTCAGAGGGATTCTGAGTTTTCTGCCTGCTCCCCCAGAGCTCTGACGAGGAGGAAACGCTTGCTTATGGCCCTTCATCACGACATGTTGCTGCCCCTTTGCGGAGATCACCAAAAGGAAGGTTTCACGCGCTTCCTGACACCAAAAAGACTTGCCTTCTGCACAAAGTTAAAGCCTGCTGCCTTACATTTAAAAAACAACCCAACCCGGAGCTGGATCCACAGTTTGCAGATCTCATGCAGAAGGTGCCACAGCCCCACGTACCTACCTGATCATTTCACAGACGCGTTCGCACAGGACCCCATCGAACAGGATGCGCGGCGACGGCTGCGTATTTTCTTCCATTATAGTTACGTCACAACCCCAAACAACACGCGTAAACCTGTCGGAGCGGGTCTCCCAGCTTAGATATGGTTACTTAGCAAACCCGTACTTCTCCACAACGCAGCTCCGTCAGCAGTTTCGCAGCTGAATGCAGCAGTCGCAACCTCAGCTGAGGTCAGCTTTGCATTTCAGATGTGCCAACACGTCTTGAAGCGGTTTCGTTACGTGCACAGAGCTTCCTCCGCGCTCTGATTTAGCTAGCGTAGCCTATCAGCGGCGTTACGGCCTAGAAAAAGTTCCCTAAAGTATCAAAAGCCAACGCCCCCTCGCCTTGTACCACTAATAACATCGGCGCTCTGTGGTTACCTGTTGAAGAGATGTACTTGGTGTCATGAACGCGTCTGGAGTCATCAGCTTGGGTTTGGCGTCATTCGAGAGAGACAGAAAGTCGACCGGTACAGGCAGGTCGGCGATGCGCCGCAGGTCTGGTTGGGAGCCGTGCACCGATCCTTTTTCAGATGCCAGCCCTTCCGCGCTCAGATCGGCCATGTGGTCAGGAAAGGCTTCCGAGGGGGAAATACAAATGGATTTACAGGAACTGCCCCCCTCCAAAATTAAAGTTTTAATTCCACAAAGCATGAACTTAGGCCACGGCCAGCTGAACTGGATTCCGCAAAGAACAAGCAAAAGCCCTGCAACACCCTGGGCAAAGCAAACCCTGCGTTAAGCTTACTCTTTATTTGCTAAAGAGTAGATTTTATCAGGCTTTGATAATAAGAGATCCAAGCTTGCTTCCTTGGGGAATGAACTGAAAGAGCTCGAACACAGAGCCCAGTCCCCAGCGCTCTCAACGCTCTGGTGTCACTGCAATCTCTTCCACCCAACGAGAGACAAATGTCAAGTTTCTCGCACAAGTGCCAGATCACCTAAGAAAGAGGAACTCGAGCGTGCGCAAAGCTCTAACGCGTCCCCACGCTCCACACTCGCTCTGGGCTCTAACCGAGCGCCCTGCTTCACAACCAGCCCATACTCGGAACCTTTTATGCAATGACATTGCTCCATTACGAAGAGGCACCCAACACCACCAAAGACAGGTTTTAACACGCTCACCAAATTCTTCGTGAGAGCCATGAGAAGGCATGGACGCGCTCACGTCGGGGCTATGAAGAGGCTGGAATCTAATCTGCACATCCTGTAGGGCCCTGCATGAAAAAAACCCAAAAGCCAGGCATCACTGATGAGTTCACGAATCACCAAGGGGAGTCTAAGGCTTGGAAGATCACAGAACTGACCCCCTTGGAATCTGCTTTTGGCATTTTCTGCCTGTGGGAGAAGCAGCAGAAGCTGATCCTCACTCAGCTGTGTCACCCAGGGCATCCGAGAGACTCTTCCCAACGCTTACACGCTAGCACAACTCTTAAGTCACCGTGTACTCGCGGTGACATAAATCCCAGCTTGCTACAGCACCGTGCAGGGCCGCTTCCTGGCAAGGCCCCACTGAATACACCACAGCCAGGAGCTTCTTAGTTTTTGTTATGAGCAAAAAGTTAAATTTCTACAGGGCAGTGCGTGATTAGGACAACCGCAGGCAGCTGCCCGTGGTAGCTGCTCCGCATACTCACTTGGTGTGCACGCAGAAGAGTTTTATCAGCACGCCTGCTGCCGATTCAACAGCCCCGGCTCCCTGAGCACCTTCTGGAAGGGAGACAAAAGTAAAATGTGAGGTTAGATGGAAACTGCAAACAAAATATGAGGAAAAAACATCGGAGCAGATGAACCAGTATGACACAGCTTCATTGCTTCTCCACTTTCAAGGTGGTTTCACCC